GGGAGTATAATGAGAGATTATAGAGGAAGTGAATAAATTTGGTAACTCATTCCATTTGTTGGAGTTTTTTTTCTTTGTGACTCACTTTTTTAAAGTGTCTTGTACTTTTTCCATTATTTTGATTTTTTAGAATATTCTGGTTCCAAGTGAAAAAGTTGTTACCACTTGTTAGGTTGAAGTTTTTGGTTCTAAAGATGGAAACAGGAAGGCAGGTTTTTTCTGTGGATCTTCTGGAGAGATATGCAGCAAAGGGGCATGGAGTTATCACATGCATGGCTGCTGGCAATGATGTTATTGTATTAGGAACTAGTAAAGGGTGGATCATTAGACATGATTTCGGAGTTGGAGATTCTTATGGTATGCTCTTATCATTTACTTGATTGGATTCTTCCTTATTAACTCTCTTTTGTGATTCAACTGTAAAAATCATTAGAGATGGGACCTGTTAAAAGTGAGATGTGATATCATATGATTGCATATAACTTCGACCTTATGCTCACAGTTACAGATCCAATTTGCCAATGTAACTCTTAGGTTAACAATCAACCATGACATGCTATGCTGGAAATTGGAGTATCATGTCTTCTCCCAAGTTCAGCTAGTACTATTTACTTAACCAAAATTTTCATAGATGGAAATGGGATGCTGCCACACTGATGGATTCAGTGCGGTTCAATTTTAGGGATAATATTTGTAAATGGAACTCTTTGCACCATTGTTTCATTCCTGTTAACAGGGTAAAACTAGTGATGATTTTTGAGGTGGCAAGTTATGCCCTATATTTCTTTGATATATCTTATTCTATAATACATACCATTTGTTGATTCCTCTTGATTTTATTGTCATTACATGTTGGGATTGCCATAATCACATGCAACATTGCAATTTATGTGGTCACTTTGTGCAACTGTTGGGATCTGAACCTTGGGCTGCATCCAACACTTAACTTATATTTTCTTGATCATTTCACTCATAGATATTGATCTCTCTACGGGTCGAGCTGGGGAGCAATCTATCCATAGAGTTTTTGTTGATCCTGGGGGGAGCCACTGTATTGCTACCATTGTTGGCGGTGGAGGTGCAGATACATTTTATACACATGCTAAATGGACTAGGCCACGTGTTTTAAGCAAACTGAAGGGTCTTGTCGTGAATGCTGTTGCTTGGAATAGACAACAGATAACAGAAGGTTTGTGTTTGGTTTCTCAGCCATCCCTCTGTTTAATACGCCAACTAATATTTCAGAGGGATTTTTTCATATTAATTTATTTCTTCTGTTGTATCTAATGTCTTTGCAGCTTCGACAAGAGAAGTCATTCTTGGTACAGATAATGGACAACTCCATGAAATTGCTGTAGATGAGAAGGATAAGAAGGAGAAGCACATAAATTTTCTATTTGAACTTAAAGAACTTCCAGAAGCATTCATGGGTTTGCAGGTCCTCCCCTTCATTTCACCTCTTCTGATCCTTTTCCGTTGGGGATACATACCAATCTGCCACTTGGGGATTTCCTCTGTATTAGGGGAGGCTTGCTAACTTTTAGCAATATTTAAAATTGCTTAAACATTTAGTATGTACATGGTTGGTGGTAAAAGCCATACAGTTTATATATGGTGTTTCTCCATCAGATATATGGATTTCTTTGAGTATTTTAATGCTCCTACAAAATGTTAAATTTTCTAATTGATGGAATTGGTCATTTGAAAAAATAAGCATGCATGTGGATGATCACTGGATTAGTGAAGTGGCTGTTGAGAAACTAACCTTCACTAACTATTTTACCCTCTCTGGCTTAGCTAGAGTTTTACTTGGGTTTTGCCTGTAATGTCTTTTTCTTACCTTTGTCTTTATTTTATTTTATTTTATTTTTTTGCAGATGGAGACAGCTAGCACAAGCAATGGAACTAAATATTACATGATGGCCGTTACTCCTACGCGGCTTTATTCTTTCAGTGGCATTGGGTCGCTGGATGTGAGTTTAATTAAGTCCGTGTATTCCCGCAGGGGCCTGTCAAATCTGCAATACTTATAAATTTCTTCTGGGGCCTTTTATATCTGCAATTAAAGTTATTTCATAAAGTCTCTCATGGCCCGATTATTATTAATTTATTACAGCCTTCTTTACCATAGAATTTGGCCTTTGTATGGACTCCCGGTGGTTTAGTTAGTGTTGAAGGTCATGATGTTGAATTTAAGAGCTCTATATAGTTGGTTCACAGTTTTTAATGTTCTTAAACCCGCCAGGTGGTGCACCCGGTAACCCATATAAGTAACTCACGAGTGTCTTCTTTGAATGATGCATGTTAACAAGAAATTGACCCTATCAATTCCTTTCTTCTTGACCTTATCAATTCCTTTCTTCTTGACCTAGTGTTGTTGATACTATTTCATTAGCTTAGATCTTTTGCCTGCGTTCCTTAGGTTTGGCCATTCTATACCTCTTGCAGTGTATGTTTATTTATGTGTCCTACATCAATGTGAGAAGCAATTTCTAATTGAGCCAAATAATATATATTTTTCTCTCTTACCACTGCATAGATTTATTAGAACTTTTCTATTTTCTTTAACATTTTTCTTGGAGGTTATATTTTTGACAACCTTCTACTTCTAGTGCTCTATAAATGTTAAGAAATGATTATGATTATGGTCAACCTTTTAGGGTTTATATTTTTGTCAACCTTCAACCTTTTATTGCTTTGTAAATGATTATGCAAGGTTATTCCCCCTTGGACCACATATTAAATATTGGGAGTCTTCGAACTTCACAAAGAGAAATCCTGTTTCTGTGATCTTATTTTATATGTTAAGAATTGAAAATTAGTGGCAAAGTAGTTGAGACTGCTGATCAAGGGGCTTTGGCTTGACCAAGGCTTCTAGACCCTGTAGCCCTCTTCCTCTTAGGTGCTTGTCTATCTGAGATCTTCCCTAATACCTCAACAATGTTTCTCTAATTTGGAATTAGAAGGTCAAGCATCTATTTCACTTATAGAAAGAAGTGAAGTGTTTGCTCTGAGGTTCTTTAATCTCCCATCCCAGTTAGGCTTAGAGTTGATAGGGAGGTACACTAATATATTCTCTTTGGATTTTTTAAGCTCACTTCCCAACCATCCATTTCTCCATCTATCAGGTCTGTAAGGCTGCATTAAGTAATCTAATTAATTGTTGCTTTAAACTCATAATTTGCAGTAGCTCACCTATGTAGGTGGTTATATTCGTGGTTCTCGGGAATCATCCTTCCCTGCATTTGTCCCTATTTTGTAGATGATGTTTTATTTGTCTTATAGCTCTTTGTGATTAATACATTTTATTTGAAATTTCATGCTTATTGATTTTAATGCATTTTCTAGTCTGTTTTTGCTAGTTATGTTGATCGTCCAGTGCGTTTTATGGAACTTCCTGGTGAAATACCAAATAGGCAAGTGCTTTTGATATAATGAAATTCAATTTATTGGGACACAGATAATAAATTTTAGATGCTTCTTTTATTGTTGTTGTATTTTCTTTGGATTTACATTTCACCTATTTTGCCATGAACTCATTGTGCTTGTTCATGTTTTAAACGCTACTAAAAAGTACATAAATAAAATTAGTTAATGACAGCAGTGCCTTGGATAATGATATGAAACATATACTGTACACATTGAGAACTGTAAATTAATCTAGTTCGTCTTTTCATTTGGAGCTTGGTGAGAAGTAATCCATTTGGCATAATTGTCACACATAAATGTTCATGCTATTGGAAACATAAGGAGTGAAGATTTATGACACATGGAACTTGTAGAACTAGATAATACATTTTTGAAACAAGAAAAATGTTAAGATTAGGTACATTGACAACTACTATCCCATATGTTCATATGCATGCATGAAAATTGGTAGTATGCATTGAGTACAAAATACAGATGCTTAAAATCTACAAATATTTATGAACTAATAAGATATTTTTGAGTTTTGATAAAAAGCTCACTGCATTGTTGGCTGCCAGACATTGCATGGAGCCTCTAGTTTGTTGAACTACATGTAGCTTCACCTTATTTAGGCTGTCCACATTACTTTTATGATCTATCAGATGTAGTTACTAAACCAAAGAGTTTATTGTTGTTGCGAAACTTGGTATGATTATTTCAGTTGTTTCAATGTGCTGCACTAAACCATGCCCTGTTCATTGTATCAGTTGGTTTGTTGTTGCCAAACTTGGTATGATTATTTCAGTTGTTTTAATGTGGTGCACTAAACCATGCCTTGTTCATTGTATCAGTTGGTTTGTTCTGTTAATTCAGTGAACCTGTTACATAGAGAATATTGTTAAATTTGAAATAATCAGGAAAATAGAGTTTGCTTTTCATTCCTTCGAAGTCATCTCAGAATATCATTTCTTCACCATTTGATTAATGGAGGGGGATCGTTTAATTTTGGTGGGTGGGTTGGTTGGGGAATTTGCCTGATGAAGTTGGTGGCTTTTTAATTTATTATGTGAAACTTGGATTGACTCATATCTTTTTTACCATGTTTGTATAATTGATATACACTATTCTTACTATTAAATAGAATCTTAATTGGTGTCATGTATGGTATTTGACTGGTAAGAAGATTGGTTGCATGGGTTTATTCTCTTTTGTGTAATCAAATTAATTATGATTTTACACATATTGGGTGGATATATTGTTCTCATAATCATATTCTTGTATTTTGAAAATGAAGTCCATTTTTGCCTATCTTGCAGTGAACTGCATTTCTTTATCAAGCAAAGAAGAGCTGTACATTTTGCATGGCTTTCTGGAGCCGGTATCTATCACGGTGGCCTAAATTTTGGAGCACAGCATAGGTAGGAGATGACTCTCAAGTCTCATCACTTTTGCTTCCTTTTGTGAACAGAACAATAGGCATAAATTCTGGAATTTATTGTTTATTAGGCTCTACTTCTTTGGTTCTCTCTTGAAAAATGTTCATTTTATGTCCATCCTCGGTCTTGTAGTGTATTGATTCTTTATGTGGTAATAGTATAGTTCTCTTATGAAGCATTTTTCTTATTAAATCTTTTGAGAAACCTCTTGGGCAGTTCACCAGAAGGAAATGAAAATTTTGTGGAGAACAAGGGTCTTTTGGACTATTCAAAATTAGTTGATGTTGCTGAAGCTATTAAACCCAATTCTCTGGCAGTGTCTGAATTTCATTTTCTGCTTCTCCTAGGAAACAAGGTTAAGGTACGTCTTTCTGTGCAGCGCACGCACAGATATATTTAATTACACATACATGATTTTGAATTTTCTTGTCAATTTTGTAAATATGAACTTCATTATTTGCTGGTAATAAAGTTTTAGCAGCTGGATCCTAGAGAGCGTTCCATTTTCTTTGTCCACGATGATGGACAAGTTGGGAACTGACTTCAATATTTGTTCATCAGTTCCCCTGCTCACTAACATTATAGAGATGTTTGCTGTGTTTTTGTTATGTGTTTTAGGTTGTAAATAGAATCAGTGAACAGATCATAGAGGAACTTCAGTTTGATGAAACACCAGAATCGATGTCAAGGGGTATTATTGGATTATGCAGTGATGCCTGTGCTGGATTGTTCTATGCATATGACCAGAACTCCATTTTTCAGGTTTGTATGCTGGGATGATTTCATTGTTTTGTGATATAACTGTTCACTACGTGCTGTCAGTGTCCAAGGTAAGAAAATTCTTAAAAGGCATATCCAAGAGGGTCATTTAGGACATACCCTACAACAAGTGATATACACAGATCAACAAAATGAAACAGCCAAATGGCCCCCTACATGGTGTAGGATGTTTAACTTCTTGCCTAATTTTGTATACTACATACAATGACCAGGATGTTTAAATAGTAGCAGCCGTATCTTGTGCCAATAAATTTCCATATGATGAATTTGAGATTGTAAAGCAGGTGTCTGTAAATGATGAAGGCCGAGATATGTGGAAGGTGTACCTGGACTTGAAGGAGTATGCGGCAGCTTTGGCAAATTGTTGGGATCCATTCCAGAGAGATCAAGTATATCTAGCACAGGTCTGGGCTTATTGACTTTGTTGGTTAGATTATGGCCTCATACAATCGTATGCAACTTGAATTTATTTTAGTTCATCACTGACCTATTTATGATGCAGGCTGAAGCTGCATTTTCTGCCAAGGATTTCCTCAGGGCAGCATCTTTCTATGCAAAGGTGAATTACCATTTTGTTTTGGTTTTAGTATGCTTGTATATTTAAGGATTTTCTTATTGCACGTATTTCTTTTTGAACTTAAATACACATCACTATCATACATATTCGAAGTAAATATCTGAGTGAGTAATATTGTTCATGTAATGGAGGATGACTAGTTTTTTAACTAAAGTGAATGCATTTTGCAGATTTATTACATATTATCATTTGAAGAGATCACTTTGAAGTTTATTAGCGTAAATGAACAGGTAAGTTATGTTGCCCTCTGATTTCACCCTTCTAGAGATGTGTTATTGCAGGTTCATACAAACAATTGATAGGCAGCTGCATGTATAGTTTTCGGTGCATCTTGTTTTCAGTGATAATACTGTGCTTAGTATATGAGAGCTCTGTTTTAGTAATGGGTTTTAGGCTTTCTTTGTATACATCCTGTATATAGAGGTTGCGCCACTCTTGGTGCCACCTTTAAATAAAATTTAGTTATAAAAAAACAATACTGCGCTTAGAAGTAAAAATTATTATATATTTTGTTATTCTGTGTATGAGATTATTTTGTTCTCAACTAAAATCTTTTGATTAATCTTCTTGACCTTTTTATATGTGGTGCTTTACTTCAATTTATGCTCCGGGTAAGCATCTTTTGAGAATTATGTGCATAATGCATATATTTAACTATGACTAAAAATAGACATGCCAAAGGCTTTTAAATTTTGTTGCAATTACATACTTGATGAACTACAAATCTGTATTAAAACTATTGTTTGAATTTCTTTATACTGTTATTGAGGATATAAATAATAAAATTAACCCCCCCCCCCCCCCTGCCGTGCTCAATATAGTTCCACCACTGATTTGACCCCCTAACAACTTAGATTTTTAAATGAGTTGGTGGTCAACAATTCAACATGGTATCACAGAGCATACAATAGATATTGTATTCAAACTTCATTGTCTACCAAATAAATATAATACTTGCATGTGTTTGGCATCTTTACGGAGGAGAGTCCAGTCATACATATATATTATATAATAAAATGACCCCTTTCTAACATCTAAAGCTTTCAGTTGAGTTCAACAACTGTGTCACTAAATTAGGAGCCCATGAGTTTCATGTGATTTTGTTGCATAGCTACTTGAGTTTAATTTGTGGAGTCTTTTCACTTCTGGATGGTCTTTCTTTTCATCATGTCATCCTATAGCCTCTTCAAGTGTTTATTATCTGCTAAGATCACGTCTGAAGAGTATTTATTTTTCTATGTAATGTGCAAAGAATGTACATCATGGAATATTATTTTTCTGTTTGAGCTGTTGATATATTTGTAACCACTGCAATATTGATAAATAATCCACATTAGGCCTCGTTTGGCAATTGGCTGAATTAGCCAAAAAGCCATATGAAAAAGGTCAAAGATTCCTTTCCTTCTCTCTACTTTTTGCTCTTTTTTTTTTTTGTAAAAAGCCAAAAAGCCATTCCCAAACACTTTCTTTACTTTCACCTTATATTTTAGCCAAAAAGCCACCTCCCAAACGAACCCTAAGTTCCTGTTCAGGTAAGGTTTTGATCTACACTATGTTAAGTTTGTTGAATATATATACATACGTAAATAGTGTTGTCTATTTCTTTTCACAATAGCAGTTCCTCCTTGTTCACATCTATACTTTTCCTCGAACAAATCAAGTGTGATAATTATATTTGTTGGTTAGCTCGACCTTTACTAGACTAGTGTTGCTCCCTTTTGGATAGCCACATATATGGTTGAAAAAGCCAAGTCTATACTTCTTGTTAATTAGCTGGTTTGGCCTTTTTAAATTGCGTCATTATGTAGTGACTCATAATTGTGGATGTTAGTGACTCGTATGTTCGCAAAAGTCTGATGTGGCGACCTCAAATAGCTGCAACTACCATATCTAACTTTTACCATGTAGATCCATGTCTGACTATCATGCACATTACAGTGTCGAACATGGTAAAGGAGGCGACATGTGGAGTGTCAATTGTTTCATTGCTTACCTGAAGTTCAGGTTGATAGTGTTATGGTTTAAGCGGAACTTCTTTTTATTATCAATTAAAGACTTTGAAGTCAACATGATTATCTTAATTTTTTTACTTTAAATAGTTATGCACCCATGTGCTCATATGGTTTGTGGTTTTTGAATTTATATCTATATATATATATTTACTTCCTTGCAGGATGCTTTGAGAACTTTCTTATTGCGGAAGCTTGATAATCTTGCAAAAGATGATAAATGCCAAATAACTATGATTTCTACATGGGCAACTGAATTATACCTGGACAAGGTTTTGCTTACGAGATAACTTATCTATCTTATTATTCTGCTGCGTTGTTTTAATTTGATGTCTTACACTACAAGACTTCTCACATCGGTGTACCAAAGCCAGTGGTTGCAATAATTTTGGTGATTATTGTGCTCGAGTTGTACATCTATTGGAGTGTTTTTAACACGTTTATCATAAACTACATGACTATGAAGCACGGGTGCGGGTATAGGTACGATACTGGTATGCCGATACGGCAAATTCTTAAAAAAAATAAGTTACGGATACGGGTGGGGTACGCCAATTGTTTTATTTTTATTTTTTATATTTAATTTATAGTTAAACATCCAACATATAAATAAAAGTTTCAATATCAAAACTAAAAAGAGAACTTGTCTAAAAAATTATATAATTCTTTCTTTTTATTTTTCTTTTTTGATTGTCTAAAACATGATAGAAAAGAGAGCAAAACCATGACTCATGGGTAAAGGGTGTTGGAAATAAATTACTTGATGATTTTCGAAGTTGAAAGAAGAATAATAAAGGCTGCAATAAATTCTAGTAGCTGCAAAAAAAAAAAAAAAAAAACACCTTGCCGTACCCAGATGTATTTGCTGTACCTAGCATGTATTCGCCGTACCCAGTACGAGTATTGTCGTACCGGTACATGTACCTGCACCCAGTACTCGTACAACACCATTTTTGGAGTACCCGTGCTTTAGAGCTACATGACAATTGGCCATTTTAATATAACTTTAGTTTGTACTTTTTTATTTTAGATCAATCGACTTCTCCTTGAAGATGACACTGCTTTGGAGAATCGTAGTTCGGAGTACCACTCAATCATTAAAGAGTTCAGAGCTTTTCTTAGTGACTGCAAGGATGTATTGGATGAGGCGACTACAATGAACCTCTTAGAAAGGTAAATTTTATTTTGTAATGTTGAGATATCCTTGTCAGGTCCCATCCCTGGAGGTTTGATAGCACCTTCCCTATAACTTGACATGACAAACACCTGTTATCTTTAATTTATCATTAAACTATAATTAAACTGAACAAAGATAAAATGTACCACTGATATAAAACAAAAACTGATGTGTACAACACAATACCATAGGCACAAAATGCTAGGGTATGTAACCTTGGCACAACCCACATCTATACAATGAACTAAACCAAATAAAACCAAAGCCTTCTCTCCCAGTTAATTGGGGTCGGCTTTGTGTTTACAATGATTATATCATTCTTTCTTATCATTGCATCTATTGGTCAAACCATCTTATTATACATGACTGAACCATCTTAATGTGTTTGTTTTTAATTTATCTTTAACCGGTGCTGCTACTGTCATTTCACGAATGTGATCATTTGTTGGACCAAAATGTCTTCTTTCCATGCAATGGGCTTGTGGGCTTCACCTGAGGCTTACAAAGTGGATAACTATTTTCTATCCAATTACGGGCTGCACCATTATCTTCTCTTCTTATTTCTAATTTAGTGTTAATTCCTTAATTTCATTTACTATGGGACATCATCCTGAATGTGTTTAGTTAATTTATCCATGAATAGGAATCTTCCTTGTTAATTGGGATTCATAAACTTGAATGTCATGCTTTTCTTCATTGTTTCATTAGTATGGTTCCACTATCCATTACGAAGAAGAAAACTTTCTTTTGACATTTGAAATTTATGGATGAAAAATGTTTTTTGCAATTGGACTTTGGCATGCTTCACTTCCCAATTTTGTTTTCCTACTTTCGCGAGTAATAAATTTTTGAACTAGTTGGAATGATGCTTTTCATTTATCCCTTTTTGATCTTATTTTTTTAGTTGACATAGATGGAGTTATTTTTAATTAGATGATAATTGCTTCCAACCTTTTTACTTGGGATGTCTATTGCCTATTGAGCTAATTACATGTAAGACATACATGTGGAATTTTGCATTATGTTGTCGTTCTTGTCTCCACCATTTTAATCATTGTTTCCTAAGACTTGCTGTCTATGATGCATTATTGTGATTGTATAAGACTAGTGCTTAGTACTTAAATGTGTAACTGTTTCTCAATATTCTTCTGTCAGAGTATTCTAAAATGGTTTTACTTTAATCTTTTTTAAAGTTATTTTGTTTTCCAATTTATAGCAGTTATGGGAGAGTTGATGAGTTGGTATATTTTGCGAGTCTCAAGGAGCAATATGAGATTGTGGTTCATCATTATATCCAGGTGCTTTGGTATTCCATTTTCTTTTTATTTGGGAGTATGTCATAATGTATGTTCATATATTTTGGTGAGGTCCATACTCAAGAATTAACATTTTAGTAAGATCCATAATCAAAATTGAATTTCTCAAATCAACATTATAATTTTTGTAAGGTCCATTCTCAAAATTAAAGTTCCTTAACACGGTGAAATTTCACATACCCACCAACTGCCCAATTATATGCAATCAACTACTTTACCGTGTACATAATTACAAAAAACCCTCAAGTCTAAATTTACCATTTTACCCCATGGGTTCAAATTACCATTTTACCCCTAGTTTTACGTACAAGCCTAACATATTAATAAGTTTGGTTTTCAAGAGCCTTCAAAAGCCACACACACAAAATAAGGCGATGAATTTTGTAAAAGCTCTTATAAAATTGTAACTTTTGAGAAACCATGTCTAATTCAATTCAAGTGTGTTCCAATTTCATACTTTCCCCCAAGTTAACCCCACTTTCCATGTGATTCAAAAATGACATGCTCTAGGTGAAACTCAATTCTTGCTATCATAAATTCATATGATATGGAGATAACCTTGTTTTAATATTAAATTTTTGGTCAAAATGACAAAAGTAAATGGGAAATGATTCATATGGCTTTTACACAGTTCGTTTACTAATTTCACAAAAATCTCCATTTGCTTCTTTTTATTAATTTGAGCTTCCATTTTGTTACCCCCTTTTTTTTGTACTGAGCTTAGCAAGGAGAAGCAAAGAAAGCATTGGAAGTGCTTCAAAAACCTGCTGTGCCCATAGATCTTCAGGTAAGGGCTAATCACGATTATTTGAGTCAAGGTTGGGCAATTTTGTCTATTTATTTATTTTGTATAATAATGACTGACCACAGCTTCACTTGCCATCTTTTATTAATTATTATTATTTCATTTACTGCCAAAGCTGCTATTTGTGTACATGATATTGCAACAGGCAAACAGCTGGTCATCTACAATCTGTTAAACCATTATATTGTTGAAAAAGTTAACAAATTGTGTTTGCCATGCAGTACAAGTTTGCTCCAGACCTCATCATGCTTGATGCATATGAAACTGTGGAGTCATGGATGACAACAAAAAACCTGAACCCAAGGAAGTTAATTCCTGCAATGATGCGTTATTCAAGTGAACCTCATGCAAAGTAAAGTTCTCCCCAGTTTGAAATTATGGCAAAAGATTGTTGTTTTTTTATAAATCAGACTGAAAGCATAAGTGCTTCTTTAATCATTACAATACTCCAGCTATTTAGGGAATTTAGTTAAAGGTGGATATGATCATTTGATTGTTGAATAATATCATACTTAGTTTATTTCAATGGTTAGTCTAAATGCAGTTGCACATACAATATGTTGTGCTGCAATTACTGGCAGTTAAAGTTTCAAACCATTTTGCCATGCATTTGGTTTCTTATCCCATGGATTCAGCACAGTTGATCTGCTGCTGCGATGATAGTTTCTATTGTTGGTCGTTTGGTAAAAACTAGATTTTTTAAGGATTTTATTTCTTGTTTTCTACAATTGTGGTACTTTTCAAGGATATATGCAGAACATAATTTGCTATTGTGGTCCAGAAAGTGGGGTTCAGTCAGTGCAAGATACTTGTTTGTTCCCCCAAACATGTAGGGCACCAAGCCTAGCATAACCAATTTTAATTTCCAGTGAGTTCATTTGTTACATTAATGTTTGGATGTAATCTGTGCTATGATTTAAACATGTTGGAACCATTTACTCTATTAAATTACCGGTTTTTCCTACCAAACCTAGCATAACCAATTTTAATTTCCAGTGAGTTCATTTGGTGAATATTACATTAATGTTTGGATGTAATCTGTGCTATGATTTAAACATGTTGGAACCATCTACTCTATTAAATTACCTGTTCTTTCTCTTTTTTATATGCATATATATATATACATATATAGTATGAACGAATAGAAGAGAATGAAATATTTGCAAAAGTCACAATGAAACACTAATATTTATGTCCCAAGGACAGCTACGTCTTTTACATCATCAGGCAGGACTTATGATTGGTGGATACCTTCTGCTAATAAGTTAGTAGGATCTGTATCGGATCTATTTCCTTTTTGTTGATTGGATTATACATTTTACATGTCTTTCATTCTGTTAGAAGTCATGGTGATCAGTTTTCTTGCTACCATATACCATAAAACAGGAATGAAACCCATGAAGTAATAAAATATCTGGAGTTTTGCGTTCACCGTTTGCAAAATGAGGATCCTGGAGTTCACAACTTGTTGCTCTCTCTATATGCGAAGCAGGTTGTTTTTCTCACTCAAAAAAGTTTCTGCAAACAATTTTCTTTATCTTATAGTTTCATATAGTGGTTCACAACCTTTACAATATGTTTGGTTTCAATACTACTTTATAACTACATTGAATCCATAGTGATGTTGATAATTGATTGGTTGAATACATGTTTATATATCTTGCCTGCTGTAAGTATACATATGGAATGAGATTTATAGACATTTATGGTGAGAAGTTTGAAAAATTGTGGTCGGAAATTAAAGTGAAAAATTACTGCTGTGTTGATGGAAATGTTTATGGTCTTGCAACAACAGCCGGCACGACTCTAGCATCCTAAAACCATCTGTGAAAAAGGATCTAAAAATTAGATACAGGTACGGGGGATATGTCCTTTAATTGGAAAAATAAATAAATTTATATATGCAAAGTAAAATTTATTCTTGATATATCATATTAGATACAATGATTTTACTATAACTTTATGTATTAGCAATGCAAAATACAAAATACAATGGTTTTACAAAAAATTTAATATAGATGCAATGATTTTACTCCAAATTTTATTTTTTTTCCTCCAAAAAAAAAAAAAAAAAAAAAAGTAGTATCTGTTTCGAAATAGAAGGATCGGATTTGTATCCCGTACCTATGTCCTGTCATGTTGACATGGTGGGTACTTCACCAAAACTGAAAGTCCATGTAACATAGTTTGATTTTTATAACTGGAGTGACTTTTGGATATATTTGATTTGCCTTAGCTACCTGGACTGCTTCTGTAGATCTTTACAGTGTCATGAAGCTATATATATAAATGGGTAAGCTAATGAAAATATAATCTGAACTTAATATGCTCTATTGAGGTTCTTTTTTTTGGTTCTCTCACTTCCATGGTGATTTATGATGAGTGCGGATGGGACAGTCTCACTAGCTCTAATTCCCAAGGTGATATTGGGCAGTGGCAGAAGTGGTATAATGTGCTGATTTTATGGTTAGATGCTTGTAAAATTTTGAGCTTTTTAAGGATTATAATATTGTATAGAAGGAATAAAAGTTTGGGTCTTGTTAAAGAAGGATGAACAAGAATTGAGGGCTGTTCTTGGTGCTTTGAACAGTACCATGAGCTGTACTCTTTGTTGATTTTGGCAACTTTTATGTGGATTGCAGTAGGACTAAAGGAAAGATGGACTAGGGATGTCCATTGTTGTTTTAAAGGCAAAGCAAAAGGGCGATCATCTCTGGCTGTGGGCTTTAAAAGGCTACTGAAGTGTAGAAAGTAAAAGGAAAGTAGTAGAAAAAAAATGCAAGATGTCATGTAGATTCCAATAGGAATATACAGATTTGGGGCTAGAATTGTATCACACAATCCTCGAATAGCATAACTACTAAATTTACTATTAACATATTCTCTACTGAACTAAAATCATTGCATAGCTATCTTGAATTGGGTAATGAATCCACATACAGAAGCTAAAGAATTTGGCACCATTTGCATCAACTAAAAACCATATACAAAGACCCAACTGCTTAATTTGGGGTAATACCATATGGTGATGACTTCAGCCCACTTCAGCACATCTTGCAGTCAAATTCGACCTTTGAAACAGAAAACAAATTAAAAAATTGGCTAAATTCATGCCTGACCTAAACAATCTTAAGTGTGTGTGGTTCTGATGCTAATTTTAAAGTTCATTTCTTTGATTTTACTCCTTGTTGAGCCTCAAATGGAGCATGTCACCTGAATGCTTGATAGGCAATATGGGTAGCTCCTTGCTGCTATTGTATATACAATGATGATAAAGTTGTTTCTCTTTATAACTCATTTAATCTCCTGTTACTGCTATTATTGAAACATATTATTTTTTATTTTATATAGTTATCTTTTATTTTAGGATTACCATTGTGTCCAAGTAGATTTTTGTTTAAATACTCTAGGATTGCCAGTTTGGAGCATGTTTCTGGTATTTAAGAGGGAGAATAGTTTGACTATATATATTATACATATTCCAGATCAAGGAAATTACTGTAAATGTTTTGACTTAATAATGTAGTAATGCTTTCTATTTGTTTTGTTGCATTTGTAATCTCTGATATTGTCATTGTTGTGTTTTGGGCCTTTTGGTACATGTTTGGAATATTCATGTTACGAACGGAGACACACATCAAATGGAATTTTATACTTGTCAGTGAGTTTGAAAATTGAGGTGGCCCAATACCAAATTTAATAAATGCAGATTTGCAGATTCATTAGCAGAATGGTTCTCATTTAAGGAAAATGGGTGTTGTCATGGAATTTCACTTGTTCAAGATGCCCATGTTCAAATAAAATTGAGTTCAACTGGTTGTGTATTTTTTTGGGAATATTTGTAGGCTGTATGGGATTTGAGGAGAACGTATAATCTCTAGTTACAATTGCATTGTGACATTGAACTTTGATCTTACAAATTTCTTTAAGGCATTTTTTCTTCAGAAGATCTATCTATTTACATATAACCAGTGAGATTATTACATGATTTTTCCCTCCACAAAAACAAGTAATGAATGCTTAAAATGCATCTCAGTCTGATATTAGTTTTCCTTCCATGTCACAATTAGGAGGATGACAGTGCCCTTCTTCGTTTCCTGCAATGCAAGTTTGGCAAAGGACGGGTTAGCGGCCCCGAATTCTTCTATGATCCCAAATATGCCCTGCGCCTTTGCCTTAAGGAAAAGCGGATGCGGGCTTGTGTTCATATATACAGTATGATGTCCATGCATGAAGAAGCAGTTGCTCTTGCTCTACAGGTAGTATTATTATCCAATTGGGTTGGTTGTGTTCATTGGGTCTTTGATTTCCCTCGCTTTATGGCAATAACAATTGTTCCTTATTTGACTACAAACCACATGGTCATGTGATTGTTTGAATCATACAATTTTAATAATGGCTCATAAAAAAGATTCATTTTGGAACTTTTATGTTTTTATTGGTGCACAGGGCATGGGAAAAACCACATCTTGCAGGTGCTTTTTGATGGGTCCGTAGTAAATGGACATTAAATTGAAGATGTTGAAGTAGTGATACAAAGTTCACTTAATTGGTTGTATGGATGCGACTAAATTAGCTCTCTATGGTGGATAAAATTTAAATTCACCATATGTTGCCAGTTTTATTTTGTTACGATTATTCTACTTTACATAACTGTTATATTGTACTTTACCACAAAAAAAAAAAAAAAAACAAGAAGCTGTTAAATTGTTAATCACCAACTGTCTAGCATCTTTTACATGCTTTGGCAGTTAACCTTCCAATATTATTATGGTTCACCTTTTTGGAATGATCAGTTTAATTTCTTGTACGCTTTATGGCAATAACAATTGTTCCTTATTTGACTACAAACCACATGGTCATGTGATTGTTTGAATCATACAATTTTAATAATGGCTCATAAAAAAGATTCATTTTGGAACTTTTATGTTTTTATTGGTGCACAGGGCATGGGAAAAACCACATCTTGCAGGTGCTTTTTGATGGGTCCGTAGTAAATGGACATTGAATTGAAGATGTTGAAGTAGTGATACAAAGTTCACTTAATTGGTTGTATGGATGCGACTAAATTAGCTCTCTATGGCGGATAAAATTTAAATTCACCAAATGTTGCCAGTTTTATTTTGTTACGATTGTTCTACTTTACATAACTGTTATATTGTACTTTACCACAAAAAAAAAAAAAAAAAAAAAAAAAAAGAAGAAGAAGAAAGAAAAAAAGCTGTTAAATTGTTAATCACCAACTGTCTAGCATCTTTTACATGCTTTGGCAGTTAACCTTCCAATATTATTATTATGGTTCACCTTTTTGGAATGATCAGTTTAATTTCTAATGGGGTTTTCCAAATATTTTCATGTGCCAGTGGGGCAACTGATTATGTTCAAAATGGGATCAATTTTACAATCAGTTACAATCAGAATGGCTGGATGATCATTGGGGTTCTATAACCATCAAATCTGTGCCCTTCCCTCTTTCCCACTTGTTTCCAATATACTTTCTGGGGTCTTTAAACTAGATTGAAATTGGTTGGCTGAAAAGCTTTAAATTGAGATGAGTTGTCAGTCCCTTGTATCTTTGCTATGGGTCTATTAAACTTATATTTCTTTATTTCTTTTGTCTATGAGTGTTGCAAGATTTGGGTGGTTGAGACTTGAGACATACTTTTAATATGAGAAATGGACAAACTTACTTTGTGTCTAAAGGCTTGGAATTCAGTTTGCTGTCAATGTACTGAAGATGTATCTTGTGGTTAATTGTTTTTTCGCTTAAAATATTTTGGTACAGTTTCTTATTCACTTTCTTGTTCTTGAAAAGGTTAATGGTTATTTGTGCTCAAATACTGTAATCTTTTTAGAAATCTTGTATGCTGTTGTTTCATGGAGTTCTTTTGGTGTGCTAGGTTGACCCAGAACTTGCTAAGGCTGAAGCTGACAAGGTTGAAGATGATGAAGACTTAAGGAAGAAGCTCTGGCTTATGGTTGCCAAACATGTCGTTGAACAAGAAAAGGGAACTAAAAGGGAAAACATTCGAAAAGCAATAGCATTTCTCAAGGAAACTGACGGGCTGCTAAAAATTGAGGATATTTTGCCCTTCTTTCCAGACTTTGCCCTGATTGATGACTTCAAGGTAACACTTTTTTACCTTAGTTTTTCACTTATAACTAGGCTAACGTTTGTTTTAATAGAAGGAAATACTGAGTGCTAGATTTTGTTCTTATTTATTTATTTGTTGCTATCACAGTATCAAATTGTTGTGCTGCAATCAATGTAGTACTAGATGTTCTAGTTATTCCATAGGCTTCCTTTCTTTATAATAGTTCTAAGTGCTCGTTTCTCATATAAACTTCAGAGGTTGCAATTTCTAAAAACAGCTGTATAACTGTATATTTTTTGAAATACATTATATGAAAAAATATCAATTTCGTAACTGTATCAATAGTTGCTTTCATATTCCCTTTCTATATTCAATAAATTAAAAAGGCAAGATTGTGTTCTACAATATTAGGCTACCATTTTCTCTAGGTCACTTGTGGGGGACTGCAATTGGAATCATCACGAGAGAACGTAGGAATAATTTGAGAAAAGAACAATCACAAATTTTCTATTTTGATTCGTATAGCATATAGTGGTGGCGACTGGGGGTCGCGGGGAGACTCTAGTGGTGGCAATTACATGACGGGTAGGGAGGGGCTGGGGTTGGCGCGAGGGCCGGAGGGTGGTAGGGCAGGGTCGCGCGGTGGTGGCCAGCAAGGGATGGTCAGTGTTAATTGTTGGAGAGGGAAGAGCAGGAGAGAAGAGGAAAAAGGAAGATGAGAGTAGCTTGGTCAATTCGAGGAGTAGTTTCCACCCCTTGTTAATTATTTTTCCTTCTTTGCACCAGTATTACAATTTAAAAATTCTTTACTGATTTGAGATTATATTTCCTGATTTGAGATTATATTTCCTAATTCCAACTTACTTGAATTTTCCCTTCTCTCTCTCTCTCTCTCTCTCTCTTTTTTAATGGATTACCCTTGGGTAAGGGTCAACGCTAGGTTGCCCATGTGAACTAGGGTCAACTCTAGATTCCCTGGTTTTTCCCACTTGGCATTTCTTGACATGCTATGCTGTATGTGCATTGTGAAAAAAATCTCTCTTTTTATTTGAATAGCTATGTGCCAAACCACATGTATCTGCTGCAAACTGTTTTTCCAATGCTTCCGGTGGGCATATGCTAAGCTGTCTTCATCTGTCATTCAATTAAATTCTTTGATATGTTTGCAGGAGGCAATTTGCTCATCATTAGAGGATTACAACAAGCAAATTGAACAACTGAAACAGGAGATGAACGATGCAACACACGGTGCTGATAACATTAGAAATGATATCAGTGCACTTGCTCAACGATATGCTGTCATTGATTGTGATGAGGATTGTGGGGTAACGATATTCCTGATGTTATTTGCTATAGATCTTTCTTTCTTTCTTTTTTCTTCTGATAAACTATTATTTGCAATAGATTGGAAATGTAATCTTTTACTTCAATTTGGCTAGCCTTTGAAATGCTCCAAGTAGTTCCTTGGGATTTTTTATTTTTTATTTCAGTAAGTACTAGTTTGTTAGGAATTTCCCAGTAGAAAAATTGTCTATTTTATTTGTGTTCATTTTAGAGATATTTTTTCTTTTCTATTTTCTCTTTCAAGTAGGTTGATTTTTGGCTTGAGTAATTTTATAGTACTATGCCGGAGGAACTTCTAACACACAATTGGTATTTTAGGAATCCCTCCCTCCCTCCGCCCCCCCTTCCATCCCCTGAATATTGTTTCAATTCCTTTGTCATCATATCTAGTTAGACTTTCATCATTAGCTGACTTGTTGCATCTGTTTATCACTTGTGAGTTTCAGGTTTGTCAGAGGAAGATTCTAACTACAGGTTGGGACCATCGGATGGCTAGGGGTTATACGCCAGTAGGTGCAATGGCCCCTTTCTATGTCTTTCCATGCGGACATGCCTTCCATGCTCAATGCCTGATTGCCCATGTCACAGGGTGTATCCACCGAGATCAAGTAAGTTCTAGAATGATTTCATATACGTTTATGTATATTTGTAAAGCTGATTGGGTATTAATCCATATATCATTGCCTTAAGTAATTTCACGTTTAAAATGGCAATGCATGACAATAGGAGGTATTAAGATCCATTAAATCTTATGCTTAACTACACTTGGTACTTGCTCTTGCTGTTCCCAGCATGGATGTACCACTTAGAACTTAGTTAATATCCTCAAAGATGGCGTATACTAAAGCAACATTGGCGGTCTACAACAAATTTGGTTTGCAATGGTTGTTAAAAATAAAATTAGAAAGTTTTAATATGTTTTCATCATCTTGACAACAAATAGTTTTATTAAAACTGATTAAAAAAATATGTGACTAATTTAACACTTTGCCATCAGATGGGAAATAGAATTGCATATGATAACCCATTGTTCAACCCATCCTCCCCCGGGGGGTGGGCGGCTCTTTGATGGTGGCCTCCTTGCCCTAGGTGTAGGCGAATCCTTGAACCAAAAGTCTGAAATGCATTCTACCTTTTAAAATAATGTCAATAAATTCGTATCACATCCGTAAATCTTGCATTTTGTATCACTAATACTCATTATACCAGTGCAAAGGTTATGTATCCATTGAGGTGATCCTAGCTTTTTCTGGTAATGCCCGATTTAGTCGTCATATGGCCTATAAGCTAGTTTTGGTTGTCTTACAAATGCCAAACAGAAGCTTATCAGAAGGGCTCACAACGTCCCACCTACAGCCCAGAACATAAGTATGAAATTGGCACCAGTGATACAATTTTAAATCTTAGTTCTGCATATGCCGATTAAACTGATATGATTATGTCCTTAACTAGATCAAAAGAAAAATGTGGTCATGGGTTGGGTTGGGTCGGGTTCACCCTAAACCGATCAACCGAACCGAATGTATCGGGTTCATGTTTATCTCAACCGATTTCGACCCATTTTGATTCGAAACCATATCTTTCCTCAACCGAAATCAGCAGTCGTTTAAGGTCGGTTTCGACAGCATATTCATACAACACAAAAAATAGAGGAGTTAAGATGTAGACAAAGATTCCAATGATGGTATTTGTTTGAGGGGAGGTCGGTGATGGGGTTTCAAGGGAGAAGGTCGTAGGGTAGCTAGATTTGAGACCAAAGAAAGATAGATGGTATGAGGGAGATCAGAATTGATAACATGATTCATCACCACCATCAGTCGACCACTATGATTCATCACCATTGTCGGTCGCCCACCACGATTCCTCACCACCGTCAGTTCAACAGTATGCCATGCGAACCATTGCTTATAGAATTGAGAGAGATCCAAGTGAGAGATCTCTGTGGGGGGTGAGAAAGAGCAAGTTTAGAGAGAGAAGAACATAGGGATGAGAGGGAGAGAGGTATGCAAATTGACAAGGGTTGGTGAGTATTAATTTGTGAGGTGAGTTGAAGAGAGAGAAATGAGGGGTTAGGGTAGGTGATGAGACGTTTGGCAGATCTGTGAGACAGAGAATGAAAGAAAAAATAATGTTAAAGTGATAAAGTTATTTTGTGATTAGCTAACATGTGTCTTAAAGACCAACAAATTTGATAAGGTGTAATCTTGTAAACTAAATATAGTTTGACACCTGTAAAATTTATGTTTAATTTATAAGATATACGGTCGGTTCGGTTTTTATGAATTTTCTGATTTTCAATCCGTTGGCTGGTCGTCAATTCGAAAAATATAAGGTTTTCAACTCGTAGTTGACCGTAGTAGCAGTTGAAATCATCCAATGTTCCATCGGTTCGGTCCGTTTGAACGGATTGATCGGTTGGTTCGGTTATTTGCGCAGGCCTAGGTTACATATTCAGAAACCCAATGATATAACTCCCATGTATGAACTTATTTAGAAGTTTTTAGTATATCATCATCCCAAAATCATTCTGCGTAGGCTTGTTTCCATTTCTGAGTTAAGCTGACCAAATTTTAACGTTCTAACCATGTGTATGTCCTCCAATATATAATAGATTTTTATAGTGGCTCTTGGTTAATTTTGAGTGAATTTATTTAGAGTTATGTTTTGTTAGAAGTGTAATTTCGTAAACAAAGTCCCTTTTTGTGTACTTTTTCCTTCAAATGAATGTTGCAGGCAGAATATGTACTGGATCTTCAAAAGCAACTTACTTTATTGGGAGGTGAATCCAAGAAGGAGTCTAATGGTACCTTAACCGAGGAGGAATCCATAACTAGCATGACCCCGATGGATAAGGTCGTTATGATGTTTTTCATATGTGTTTAAGCAACTCAAAATTGGTGTTGAATGCGTCTTTGCTGTCGAATCTTCTCATGTTCAACATGCATTATTCTACTCTATTTAGTTTTTCACTGCTTTTGAGATTAGTCAATTTAATTGCAGTGTAAAAAGTCTGGAACATTGCCATAAAGTCGTGTACTCATTTTTGTTGCTTCCTTCTCAAGCCCTTTGTTTTTCTCTAGTTGCTTTCTTTTTCTTTTTTAATTGTTGCTGTTTGTTGGCGTTCAAAAACTTTGGAAGTAAAATAAAAAGACTTTAGTTGTGGTACCTATGTGTTTATGGTTGCAGTCTAAGAAGTATGGATACAGATACAAATTTTCATAAAATATAGGAGACGACACATTGAGGATGCATGCAAAACATGTAATTTATATAATATTATATATTTATTCTGTGTCAAATATTTACATCAAATTTATCAACCTTGAGTATGCTATTTCAGTTGAAAAAAAAAAGGGGTTAAAAATAGTGTGTCCCTAGTGTGTTCCTGGCCAACTTGTGTCGTTTACTGGTACGTGACCTCCGGAGACGTGTCTCTGCTTCACAGGTTGCAGTTGGTGGTGAATTAAATGATGATAATGGTGTTCTTCTTCTTATTTCAATAAAAATGATGGATTTTTGCTTCAAATGCTTTTGTAAATGAGATGGCATTATTTCATTTGATTTTCTTGTGCCAATTTACTCTAGAATAAATTTCTTACCCTGCTGCTGACTGATTCATAAATTGTAGCTTCTTACATAGTGAATTAGACGCACTAAAAAATGTTATTTTGCTTGTACAGATACGCTCACAATTGGATGATGCTATAGCTAGCGAATGCCCATTTTGCGGTGACTTGATGATTCGAGAGATCTCTTTGCCTTTTATCCTCCCTGGAGAAGCATACGAGGCTGCTTCCTGGGAAATAAAGCCACATAACATTGGAGCCCAGAAGAGCCTTTCTTTGGCTCTATGATTGAATGCCTTAATGGATTTGCAGTACAGGTTATCATTAATCCATGTGCATGGCTGTTTTGAGGGGGTCTTTTAATTGTGTTTTGCTTTATCATCTTTATTCTTGGTGGTATATGGTTTCAACAAGTTATGGTTTGAGAGGTTATATCTACTACCCTTTAGCTATTAGAGTGGTATCCATTACATCTCAGGTGTACTCAAGTGTATGTTCCTAATAGTTTGTTGTAGGCTCATCTGCATAATTTTGGCAGGGATGCATTGATGAACTGAATCACGAGAATTCACAATAGAAAACTTTTCTACGAACCCAGTGAATGTGATTTCCATTTGGAGTTCATATGAATGATTTCCTTCTACAAAACTTATGTTGTATTATTTTTTATTTATTTTTTTCGTTAGTTCTTCCAAAATCATTCTCATTTCTTCGATGTGTAACACTTCTACATGTATTGTTGTGAATGGGAGTCTCTTTTGAGCCTTTCCACGCCCATGTTGTCTTGGTCAAGGAGACCCAAAGTTCTTCCATGTTTTTCATAAATGTTGTGTTCGTTTGATGTAGCCGTTTTTTTTTTTACTTATTCCATTATATTCTCAATCACTATGTAAAATAAAAAAACAAAAAATGAACAAATTACATTTATTTTTCTTGAGATTTGAAAAAATGCAGTTAGTTTTATATTTTTGATATGTTCCTAATAGTTTGTTGTAGGCTCATCTGCATAATTTTGGCAGGGATGCATTGATGAACTGAATCACGAGAATTCACAATAGAAAACTTTTCTACGAACCCAGTGAATGTGATTTCCATTTGGAGTTCATATGAATGATTTCCTTCTACAAAACTTATGTTGTATTATTTTTTATTTATTTTTTTCGTTAGTTCTTCCAAAATCATTCTCATTTCTTCGATGTGTAACACTTCTACATGTATTGTTGTGAATGGGAGTCCCTTTTGAGCCTTTCCACGCCCATGTTGTCTTGGTCAAGGAGACCCAAAGTTCTTCCATATTTTTCATAAATGTTGTGTTCGTTTGATGTAGCCTTTTTTTTTTAACTTATTCCAATATATTCTCAATCATTATGTAAAATAAAAAAACAAAAAATGAACAAATTACATTTATTTTTCTTGAGATTTGAAAAAATACAGTTAGTTTTATATTTTTGATATAATTTCACTATCCTTTTTTGATATTTTAATTCATATAAAATTTAGATTTTTTTATTTATAATTTGTAAGTCATATGAATGAAAAAGATAATATTATTGTGTAAATTTTTATTAAATTGTATATTTATCTTTGTTTATATATATCTCTACTGGCTATATAGATTTGATGCCTCAAATCTACTATAACATAAATTAGTATAATTATGTCAAGTTTATGAAGTTAATTGCATTTTTATTAAATTTCACGAGAGATGAGTGTAATTTATCTAAATACAAATGAATAATGAGTAACATGATACTGATATATTTTTATAGTTAAGGTTATTAAAATGTATAAATTTGTGAATAAAAATTAAAATAATATTTATTAATAATTAATATTCGTTAATAATTGAGATAGAGTGAAGAATGGTAATTGGAGGGACAAAAGAGGCGGCCAAGATAGAAAGGAGCATTGACAGCCATGTAAAGCGTGGGATTGGACGCAAGTCCATTTAGCTGCAGTCGACAGACTTGATTCTCTCTTATCACACAACCCCAACTCTCCCATAATCCTCATCAATGAGTAATGTCATTGATTGTATTATTTAAATATAATATTATATGTATCAATTAATATATTAATTAGTATATTAATAGATGATGTGATATAATTTTAAATGTTTTGGGTATTTATAATTTGTATGATAGGTGGGGTCAATAATAATAGTATAAAAATAGTTAGTACACTAGTGTGTATATTAATTGGTGTATGTAATACCGCTGTTTATTTAAAAAATGATATGTATATTACATTTTATTTATTTTATAAAATATAATTGTATTAATTTAATGAATCTTACTATTCACATATATTATTAATGTAATTATAACTCATAAGATAATGAATAAAATATGAATATAATTATTTTTGTATTATTGTTATTAAAATTACTCTGATTTTATATAAGAAAAACTACAAGTAATTGACCAAAACTAATTATAATGCATAGGAAGCAAGTCATTTTTATGTAGAAAAATACTCAAAATTACACACCACAAAGATTGTTACTTTTTTTTGTAATAAAATGTTTCACCTTTCTTTTACATTCTTTATTCTTGAACTATCAATTGAATTTGTTACGTTTTTAAAATATTTAATTTAAATTTATTCAATTCCTAAAAAAATTTTACAAAAATATTTAAATTCATAAACATTATAAAATAATAAAATATTCTACTTAGATTTTATTCCGAGTCTCGACACGCCCCACCGCCTTATTTGTGGAGAAAATTCACCTCTCGCTCTACTTTCTTTCAAACTTGCATGTGTTGATTTTGTTGACCAATTTGGGTCTCTCTTCAACACTGTTAATTTTTCAAATGACTATAACTAAATCTAAATTTTCTCAAATAATAATTTAACTTCCATTTTTGTTTTATTTTCTATTTTTTTCCCCAACTCCTCATGGTTTGACTTCTTGAAATAATTCCATCATTAGAAAGTTCTTGATTAGTTTAATGGATATTGTCAATGGTTGTTTTTCAAAACACTGTTTAATATGTTTAAAATGATTATACATTTTACTATTAAAAAGGCATCCTATAAATACATCTTATCTTTTTAGTGGCATATCATATGTAAATTATGATTACAATAAAGATAAATTACATTAACTTTTATTAAAATTTGAAAAAAAATACAACATATCTCATAGTTTAAACATAATTATTATAATGTATATTATTCTTATTTCTCTTTGTGTTTTCACATTATTTACATCAATTTTGATCATTCAACATTTCTAAACAAAAGATGTCAATATAATGATTTTAAAATTGTAAATTTTACTATATTTTTTTAACAATTTAAAAAATAATCACTGTAATTTACCTTTAAAACTAATATTGATCATAAGTGATTGTGTGCTCAAACCAAACAAAAAAAGGGGTGAATTGTGGATAGAGAAATTTTATGTACCCCAAATATTTTACTAAATATTTCATCAAATTTTTCATGTGGGATAAGACTCACACAAATCTACATGTATGTGAGTCCCACACCATGTAAGAGGTTTGATAGAATATTTAGGATTTCTAACATAACTCTCGTGGCTGCCTTTTTTTACGATGATCTCCAAAACGACGTCGTTTTGTTTAGTTTAGTTTAGTTTTTTTTTTTTTGATTTTTTTTTATTTTGCCCTCTTTTCCTTTTTCCTCCTCTCTGTCATTTTCTTTGTTTTGTTCCACACATAACCTAACAGAGAGACGAAGGAGAGGGCGGAGCCACGCGACGGCGAAGAAGAAATGCAGAGGATGGCCGGAAACGGTGATTCCAGTGGCGACGCGACGGCCGCAAGGCTAGATTGTAGCGACGACGAGGTCCCTTTAATCATCATTCTCATTTTTTCTTGTTATATATATATATATATATATATGATTTCTTGGATTAGATTTGTTGTAGATTTCTTGAGTTTTATGGGTTTGATGATTTAGGCTTTGTTGCGGATTTTTTTGCCTCTAATTTTAATCAGAAAATGTAGTAGGAAAAAAAAACAGGGGGCTTTTGTTGTATATTTTTTGGGTTAGATTTGTTGTTGATTTAAGTGATATGAGGTTAGCTTTGTTGTTGTTTTGAAGCAAAAATCTGTGATTCTTTGAAGCTAAAATTTGTTTTGAAGCAATTGAGGTGTGGTGGTATGGTTCTGATGATTGGTCATAAACTTAGGACTAATTTATTTTTAAAACCACTCAAAGTTTTATTTACTTACTACATTTCCCTTATCATCAACTGTAACATCTTGAGTCACATCACTATTTTTTACACTGATGATTACATTCCGTAAAACATTAGAAAATTCTGCTGGATCCATAACAACTGATCCTCTACAATCAACATCCTCTTTGCTAACACCAATCTTTGAAATTGACGGACCAGGATCAACATCAATAGTGTCATCACCACCCCGGCGTACATCAATATCTGACAAACTCAGACGACCTCTGCGTTCATGAATAGCTGAACCACTTTTCCCAAAACCTCCTAACAACAAATCTCTTCGCCTCTCCGGTAAACCAACAAACTTAGTCCGTGTTAGAATCGGAATGGCCTTCGTTGGAGGGCAATGCCAAACATCAACATTATCATTAGTATATTTTTTAGATAACACAACAATAGAGGGGGCCCTTATTTGCGAATTTTCTGGCATGTCACTGGTAGAATACTTCAGATACCCCTTCATTTTACAATACGTAACCCCCCTTTTAATATTGGAATTTTCAAGTCGATACTTCACCATCTATGGCACCTGTTTGTCATTAATTGAACAATAACCATTCTCATAATAGACTAACTCGCATTGACAATCTACTGGAAAAATAAACCATGCCTGTAAACTGTCATTACTGTCTAACCTTCGATCATAAACATTTACTCTGACCAACCCACTAGCATTGGGTGAGCAAAGGGGGTAATATTTTATCAACCTTAATACTTTTTTGTTTGTATCTTAACCTCAATTGAGAAAATAAATTAGGCAACGCAAGTTCAATACAACTAAAATCACTTGCGAAAACACCTTCAACAACCCCAGTTTTTATATCGTCCACCTCCATTAACCTGAACATTAAAAATAAAAATACATCAAATTACAATTCTAAACAGTTTTAAAGTACATTTGACTCCTTAAAGTAATTTTGCATTCCTTTCCACTAACAGTAGCAGCCACTAAATATATGACACCCTTTTGAATGCTTCCAACATTTCCTAACAGCGTATCTTTGTAGTCAGTCCAAACATCAACTGGGAAGAACCGGTCTACAACTTCTATCCCGTGACGAACGTACTCTTTGTCCTTACCACCAACGAGCTTGAATCTCATTTTCCTTAGCATCTGAAAACGGTCGGACTGGTCAGGATCAACAATCCAGGTCTCAAGATTACCCTTGCCAACTCCAATAAATATCTTGTCAGGTGTAGGGACGAAATCTGACATACTATTATCACTGATGACAAAAAACAACACGTGGTGGACCACAACTTCGTCCTTAGCATCCTGTCCCAATTGAACATTACTAATGAATTTGATACCCTTAACCACGATCTTGTCTGATTGACGGTCAGATCTCTTATTACCCAACTCAATACCATTAAGTAATCTCGCCACGCCTTTATTATCAAACTTAACGTCCCTTAATTGTTCATCGTATAGCTGTAATTTCCTTACTCCCCTCTTAGTCTTCTTAATAAATCGGGGAATATTCTGAACGTACCGTCTGCGAACATCCTGG